CCTGGAAACATGGCGATATGGTAGGCATTAATCCAAAGATTAGTTGCCACCATTTGAATATCCGACCCAAAGGTTGTAGCACATAGGCAAAAAATAAGGGCTCTCAACCCTGAAAGACATGAGGCTTTAAAGGATGAAGTTAAGAAGCTAATCGACAATGGATTTATCTGGGAATCAATCTATCCTAAGTGAGTTCAAACCCAGTATTGGTCGAAAAGCACAATGGGAAGTTGAGGGTTTGCGTAGACTTTTCAAATTTAAAACAAGCCAGTCCTAAGGACAGGTTCCCACTTCCCAGAATAGACCAACTTGTGGATTCGACTGTCGGTCATGAACTTCTTATCTTCATGGATGCATAGATGAGTGGCAGCCTTGTACCGATTAGTCTCCAAGGCAACAGACAAGTGCCTACCTTTCTTTAAAATCGTCAAAGGAGGAAACAAGTTTCAGTGGACAGATAAGTATGAGGCAGCCGTACAAGAGCTGAAGAAGCACTTGGGATAGGCTTCCATCCTCTCCAAACCTAGGGACCACGAGCTACTATAGTTGTACCTAGCAGTGACCCCCGAGGCCATCAGCTCGATTTTGATAAGAGAAAATAATACTAAGTCAGGAAAACACTCTTGGGAACAGAGACTCGTTATCCAAACATGGAGAAATTAGCCCTTTCTTTGGTGACAGCCTCAAGAAAATTGAGGCCATATTTCCAAGCCCTAGTATACACGTGTTCACAAATTTCCCCTTCAAGCAGGTACTGCAGAAGCTTGATACTTTAGGGAAGTTGTTGAAGTGGGTTGTGGAATTTAGTGAGTTCGATATCATTTTCAAGCCAAGGGCTGCCATCAAGGGCCAACTCTAGCAGATTTTGTGTCAGAATTCACTCATATCCTAGACATGGAAAAAGATATGGAACCTACCGAACCTCCAACTTGGAACTCATCGGTTGATGAATCTTCAGGAGAGATAGGATCAACAGTAGGTGTTGTCTTAGTCAGTGCAGAAGGACATAAGCTTACTTGTGCTGTGAGATTCGATTTTAAAGCCACCAATCAACAGAGTATGAGGCCATCCTCGATGGCCTAAGGTTAGCCAATGAAATGCAAGTAAAGAGGCTCGTCATCAGTAGTGACTCGCAGCTAGTAGTATGTCAGGTTCATGGTAATTTTTCACCAGGGATAAGTCTATGGCAGCATACCTAAAATTGGTTTGGACTTCATCCCTTCCTTTGAGAAGTTCGAACTGGTGTAAATCCCATGTGCTAAAAACGTCCATGCCGACGCACTGTCTAAATTTGCAAGCAGTAAAGATTTTGAATTGCTCACATTTGTGCCTATAGAACACCTTTCTAGACCTTCTACCATTGCTGGCGAGGTTGTTATGTGGGTTGAGGACACTCTAACTTAGATGAAGTCAATCATATATTTCCTCAAAGACCGGACCCTATCCCCTGAAAAGGAAGAGGCTTAGAAGCTCGGAAGGAGAGCTGTCCACTTCGTATTACAGGATGATGTACTATACAAACGATGGTTCTCACTGCCCCTGCTCAGATGCATTGGATGGGAGCAAGCAAATTATGTACTCCAAGAAATCCATGAAGGGGTGTATGTGAACAACACTGGAGGATGGTCCTTAGCACAGAAAGTACTAAGACAGGGATACTACTGGCCCACCTTGCAAAAGGATGAGCAACAGTTTGTTAGAAAATGTAACAACTTTCAACGCTTCACCACTATTCAAAGGCAGCCTTCTCAAGAGTTGAATGTTGTATCCAACCCTTTGCCATTTGCAAAATGGGGATTTGATCTTATAGGACCTCTCCCCAAAGGGGAAGGAAACTCTAACTCACCTATACAACTTACCACTTGACACTTTGACTTTTAAAAATTCTTTTTCAACAATAGTTTTGTCAATAGATTGCCAACATCTTTAAAACCTAACAGATTGGAAATCACTCTCAATTGAATTTTCTGAGTGTCTTTCCAACCTTTGCTTCTAAGATTTCAAAGAACTCAACAACTCTTGAACCCTTAATTTAGAGAGATCTCTAGTTTCTTCGATAATAGCCACCATAGACTCAATTTTCTTAGTCAAACTTAGCAAAAACTTCTCAACGATTCCCTGATCTATCATCTATTCACCATATGTTTTCATTTGATTGATCAACTTTATAAATCTAGCTGAATAATCTATCTCACTTTCATTTTATTTCATTCTCAAGTTTCCAAAATCTATTCTAAGAGATTGAAGTTTGATTGTCTTGCCATTTTATCTACTTGAATTTTTTTTCTTAAAGTGTCTGCCATGCTTCCTTAGATGTCTTTGCTCCCATGAATCGTGGGAAAATAGCTTATGAGACTCCTCTTTGAATCATCCATAGAGCTCCAACTCATTCTTTTGAGCTTCACTTAAATCTGCAATAGGCTCTAGGATTTCATATCCTGATTTTACCATCTCCCATAAATCAAGAGACTTAAACAAATTCTTCATCTTGATGCTACAAAAATATAGTTGTCCCCCTGAAGATTGGAACTTGAACACTACTCCAACTTACACTTGAGCTAGCCATGTTTCTAGTTCAAATCTTAACCTTCAACAACTTCAACCAAGCTCTAATACCAAATTTGTTGGCTGAAATCACCACCAAATATATTTGTTGAAAGGTAAAATTGAAAACTTAAGAAGATTGAATTGTTGAATTTGGTAAGTAGTGCCAATTTTCTATCGATCGGAGAGAAGAAGAGGTGAGAAAATTAAATGAAGAGGTTTCCCCAATTTTCAACCTCTATTTTCCTTTTTTTTTTCTCTCTTGGCCACATATTCTTTAGGCCAATTCACAAAATGCACACTCTAACCATAATTTAACTAGAGTTCAGACATCAAAAAATTAACTATGGTATAGTTTAGCTAAAGGTACTTCAATGAACATTAACTGTAACAAAATTAATTGTTGAACTTTAACTTAGATTTTAAGCCACTTTTTTAGCTGAACCAAACAAAGGCTTAATATAAATTTGTGTATGTATGTGTTATATTGATTTATTGGCATAGTATTTCCATTTGGTTGAACCTCGATTAAACACTACGAATTAATGTTAGAATTTGTGTGTGACCCGAATTGAAAATGTAATTGGGAGTTCTAATTGGAGTTTGTAGTGTTTTGGACTCCTATTTCAACTCAAATACTCCATTATTGATTTTACATATTGTAATAGGACTTCACCTTGTATTAGACTT